TTTGGTCTTCTATATCGCCGATTCTCTCTTCTGCCTCATTTATCCTAGCAATTCGTGCCCCCATTTTTTATTGCACCTCATTAATAGCGTTTTTGATTTCAACTTGGTTAGATTTTAGTTCTTTTGTTTCTCCAGAAAGGGTTTCTCTAATAACTTCCATGCTTTTTTCAAAGCCCAGCTAGTATCTTTAAAATCATGATTCTGAACTCTAGGTCCAACATTGTACTAATGTCCGTATTGAGGAGGTCTCTGGCAGACGGTACTACCTCTTGTTCTTTTTGTTGAGGTGATATTTTTTCATCTTGTCATTTTGTCCAGAGGAGAATAGATGAATAAGAGAACAAAATACTAACAGGTTAACAACGTCCCCAGAAAATATCTCTAAACAAATCAGAAAAGGCCTGAAACCAGGGAAAAAGAAAGGGAAGGAAAGAAAAAAGAAAGAGAAAAAAAAAAGAAAAAGAAAAAGATAAAAACAAACAAAAACAGAACAAAACAAAAAAGAATATGATCAAATATGATCACGCTAGTGCATAGATCAGTGACACACACTAGATTTTGGGTGTATTTTGGTCTGTTAGAAGAAAGTGCCTCCTAAAATTTTAAAGAGAGAAAGACTTATATATCTACAAATTAAGGGTTGATACAATGAAGGGATGGAATATGACTGTAAAGATGAAAATTATAAAAAATTTTAAAAGAGGAATTGATAAGGTGCTTGAAAAAAGAAAGAAGAGGATTAAAAAAAGAAAGAAAGAAAGAAAGAAAAAGGGGGAGAGAATGTGATCAGGCAGGAGACTAGAACAAAGCCATACACTAGTGATTTAGGGTATATTTTGATCTGTTAGAAGAAACTGTAGCTCAAAATTTTAAAGAGAGAACAACTTATGCCAAAAATAAGGGTACTACTATGAAGGGATAGAATATGACTCTAAAAATGAAAAAATAAATTTTTTTTTAAAAAGGGATTGATAAGATGTTGGTTGAAAGAGGGAAAAAGAAATATTAAAAAAACGGTTAAAAAATTAACTTTGAAAGACTAATGAATCATGGTAAAAAAGCCATGAATTCTATGTGCAGTATTCCCCTAGCGCTGGAGTTCTGCCGTTCTCATTGATCGGTAAACTTGGTCTTGGCTGGCTGTTCTTGCTGATCTTCTGGGGGAGGGGTCTGTTGCCATGGTTCCCAAATGTCTTTGCCGGAGGCGGAATTGCCCCTCCCTTGTGGGTCTGGGCTAAGTAATCTGCTCGGGTTTGCTCTCAGGAGCTTTTGTTCCCTGCAAGCTCTCGGTACAGCTTTGGAGGACGAGAGTGAAAATGGTGGCCTCCCAATCTCCACCCGGAGGAGCTGAGAACTCGGGGCCCCGCTCCTCAGTGCGCCCCCAGAGAAAAGCAGTCACTCCCGTCTCCCCGGTCTCCGGCCGCACTCCGTGCTCACCCGGCCTGTGACCGAGTGTTTCTATCTCTGGCACCTGACCCCGTGTGGAGTCTCCAAACCCAGCAGATCCCTGCGGTGCGCTCCCACGCCACTCCTCCCAGGGGAGGAAGGGGAGTCTCCCCGGCTCTGCCGCTTGTTGGGTCCCTGCTGGAGGAGCAGTGGCCCAACTGTCACCGATCACAGTTTATGGCCACCCCGAGCTGAGAGCCCGCGCCTCGGCTCTGTCTCTGCAGCCGGCTTCCCCGCTCCGATACCTGGGAGCTCTGCTGCACTCAGGCACCCCAGGTCTTTCTGTGACCCCGAGGGTCCTGAGACCACCCTGTCCCGTGAGGGTTCCACCCCCCCACTTAGCCACTGCAGCGACGTCCCTCAGCGGAGCCGACTTCTAAAAGTTCTGATTTTGTGCTCTGCGGCTCTATCACTTGCCAGAAGCGGCCGACGGAGGCCCCCTCCCCCGCCGTCTGTCCTCCCGAATATCGCCTCGGATTCACTTCTCTGCACGTCCAACCTTCCAGTAAGTGGTCGCTTTTCTATTCAGAGTTGTTGCTATTCTTTTCTTCGATCTCCTGTTGAGTTCGTAGGTGTTCAGAATGGTTTGATCCCTATTCAGCTGAATTCCTGAGACCAGACGAAATCCAGGTCTCCTACTCCTCCGCCATCTTGCTCCCCCCCAATGCAAGTCCCTTGTATTTCTGATTATACTTTAGCAGAATGCAACAGAGAGAGGAGGCAATATAATTCTTAAGTGCCCTAGTAAGAAAATCGGAGTGTGTTTATAATGCATGTGTTTCTGCAGTGCATGTCCTTAGGAAAACACGTATCTGTTTTTTGAGATCACGTTCTTCCCTTGCTTCATAAGGGTTAAGAGAACTAACATTTATTGACCTTCCAGGAGCTAATTATATTACAGACATTATTTCCTTAAGTGTTTGCAACAAAGCCAAGTAGATATTATTATTATCCCCATTTTCAAAGAGGAAACTGAAGCCAAAAGGATAAAACAATTGGTCCATGTTACCAGACAGCTAGTGGGAGAATGCGATCCTAACTAGCTGTGTTCAATGACCAAACCAGAGTACTTTCTATCGTACATCATTGCACCATTTTCTAGCAATATCAATTGAAGTTCTCATGTGTCTTCTGAGCCACATGAGACAACCAACCACGGTTGTCAAAAAGTTGGTTGGTTGTCAAAAAGTAACACTTAGAGGGCGCCTGGGTGGCTCAGTTGGTTAAGCGACTGCCTTCGGCTCAGGTCATGATCCTGGAGTCCCGGGATCGAGTCCCACATCGGGCTCCCTGCTCAGCAGGGAGTCTGCTTCTCCCTCTGACCCTCCCCCCTCTCATGTGCTCTCTCTCTCTCATTCTCGCTCTCTCAAATAAATAAATAAATAAAATCTTTAAAAAAAAAGTAACACTTAGATACACCTCCCCCCCACACACATACATCTATCTATCCATATACATCCATACATGAGTTACAATGTAGTGTAGTATAGTGGTGTATGGACTCCAGAGCAAAACTACCTGAGTTCACATAATGGCCCCAAGTACCTGTGTACCACTCAGCAAGATGCTTAGTCACTTTTGGACTCCTTGTCCCATTAGTAAAACATGTATACTGATAGCATAATAGCTAATAATGGTGCCTGAAACATTTTAAGTGCTGTTCAAGTATGAGCCATGACTGATGTCAATTAAGGGTAAGAACTCTTGGATAATATTTCTCATTTGGTATATCTTAACTGGAATAGTTTGGACGATTAAAATTTAGTGCTATGGAGGCAGATATTAAAATTGAGATAGATGTATCAACCAGGTAGCTTCATTTCTGCTCTATGCCCATAGGTTCCTTAATCCCACTCAGCTATATCAGTGAGTATCATGGGTCAAAAGGGCTCCCTGAATCAGAACAATTTTACACTCTACAAAATACATGACTTGAGGATCAGATAGTAGATTAATCATGAAATGGAAGATGAGCCCTATAGTGTTGTAATTAAAAATACTGATTTCATACACCATGTTTATAGCAGCGTTATTCACAATAGCCAAAAGATAGGAACAATCCAAGTGTTCATCAACAGATGAATGAATAAACAAAATGTGGTAGATCCATACAATGGAATATTATTCTTTAAAAAGGAAGGAAATTCTGACACATGCTACGGCATGGTTGAGCTTTAAGGACATTGTGCTAAGTGAAATAAACCAGTCACAAAAGGACAAATACTGTATGATTCCACTTATACGAAATAGCTAAATTAGTCAAATTAACAGAGACAGAAAGTAGAATGGTAGTTTCCAGGGGCTGGGGGAGATTGGAAATGGGGAGTTATTGCTTAAATGAGTACAGATTTTCAGTTTTACCAGATAAAGAGAGCTCTGGAGATGGGTTACACAACCATAGGAATGTACTTAATACTACTGAGCTGAACTTAAAGATGGTTAAGATCGTTAATTTTATGTTACATGTATTTTACTCCCCAATCAAAAAAAAAAACGAATACTGATTTCAGTCAAACCAACTATAGCTACCATGGTGGCCTCCGATTAGTGGGAGGGTGTTCTGTTGTCACTGATCTATAAGGTTGGATGAAATCATCAATGTGTTTTCCTGTCAGCAGCCAATCTCTCGGTGACATGCTACAGCTGTTGTCTGTGGCTCTACAATCCAAATGAGAGTCGGGGCCACTCACCCTTGGCCTTTGATTCTTTCCTGGGGAGCTACAAATATGACTCTTGAATTAAAGGTATGTGTGGAGAAAATGCATGTGTGTATCCCTAGGTGGTCACGCTGTTGAGTCCCTTTACATATGGGAGAGTAAGTAGGAGGATGAAAATCTTCCTTATAGGGCAGTGTGTTAGATAACATGACTGTCAGATGTAACATTTCTATTTCTGATGGCATCCTTGGAGTTCTATGCCTCCTCCCAGGGGCTCTGTATATCTGCACCCAGGTTTTTGCATGGTGTATGAATGTCAGATCTGTGTTTTGGAACTTGGGCAATTAGCCCAAGAAAAGAATGGTTGAGGTTCTGAATTAATTAGGACCTATTTAGATTTCTGTGATCAGTGGTTTCAATATGAATCGTTTGGGTTAGTATTGCAGCCTATCAATTCTTTAAAAATGAAATGAATTGTTTGAACTTCACAAGTATGTGTGAACTGTGTATCTTTTATTTTTCCCCGTTGGGAGGAAGGAGAGGGGAGGACACACATTTTGTGTTTCCACACAAATGGGAGCCACCTTCAAGACCAGCATGTTAATTAACTAACAAATGATTATCCTTCCTAATAGTAGAAGAGTGTAAATGGGAATCTCTTTTACGAACGACTTTTCCTTCGTTTAGACATTAGCATACATTCTTTATGCTTCCCTCTCTGACTACCTACCTACTTCCATGTGCGTGTAAGTGTGTGTGAGAGACAGTGTGTGGGGGCCGGGGGTACATCTATTATGTGGTATGCTGAAGTGTAATTCGAAACCATGGCAACTCACACTGTTGAAAGACTTGAAGCTTTGTTTCTGATACCTATGACACCCACCACTACAAGCTTATTTCAAAAAGGCAGCTGTCAAATAGCTTGTAGTTGGCTTTACAGAAGATGAAATGCAAGGTGACCTGTCTTACTGTAAATGTCTCTTGATTCAAACTGTCTTGAAAAGTAGAAGCGTCTCTGATGACTGAGTGCCACCTGTTACTGGAAAGGGGCCAAATGACCTCTGACCGGACTGCTGCTGGGGAGGTTGGGACACATCTGTGATTTCCATCAGCATCCACCTTTTTTGACCCATCAAGAGGCGGGGGCAAAACTTGGTTAAGGAGGGGAAGTAGCTTTCAAAAAACAGATGAAAGAAGCACCGGAATCAAACAACTTAGTGGAATGACCGATTCTCTTTTGCACGATTCTCAGAACTGACCTGTCCTTGGCCTTCCAAAATGTTGCTTCCAGAATATTAACCCATCAGGGTCCTGGAGAGAAGCCACAGCAAATGGTGAGACCATGGGATGGGAAGGGTGGATCTTGATGGCAAAATCAAAGTGATTCTGCCTCTCTTTAAGCCCCAAATAAGTCTCAAATATGGTGGCATGGGTCCCAAACTGAGCCCTTGCCCTAAGAGACCTCAGATCACTGGTTCTCTGCTGTGCTTGAGAAACTGAAAGTGGCCTTGCCAGGAACTATTTTAGCGGGGATCGCCAAGCTTCACAAGAAGGGGAAGCAAGAGCTTTAAACCAAGTTTCCCTTTTGCGTTTCACCAAGAACAGGTGTTTGCTTTGCTCAAGGGAAGACTTCACAGGAGGGATGCCATGCACAGCTAAGAACAGTGGTGGGATTTCTTGGCTATCATAGCTGGGATCGGTTCACATCACCACGGTGTTATCACTCCATCGGCTTTCTACGAATATGATATTAAATGCTTGTGTGTGTGTGTGTGTGTGTGTGTGTATACAATGCCAGAATCAGATGAAACAACCACCCACCGCCTCCCCAGCATGCATGGGAATCATTAATATGTTAAGGTGGGTCTCTTATCTGCTGGTTATAGTAACACAATTACTTTATACACAGCATCTCATTTGATTTTCATCACAACGCTATGAAATAAGCATTATTGTCCTCACTTGATAGATGGGGAAACTGAGCATAAAGAGAATGAGTAAAATGGAAAAGTGGCAAAACTTGGAAGTGGCAGAGTTGGGATTTGAGCTGAGAAAGTCCCAAGCTTTAGCTCTCAGTCACATTTCTACAAGGTAAGTAGCACACATTGTATCAGCTGCACCAAGAATCCTGGGTGAACATCTGCAAAGCCCATTCACTAATTTTCCTCTTCTTTTCAGAGCTGGCCCACAAGCCCAGAAGTGTGGCATTGCCTTCCTGCCACCCAGCAACCCAGAGCCTCTCTGCTTATTCTGCTTTCCTGTCCTTTCCAAGATTAACATTTGACCTGCCTTCTTTCCATGACCCCCATGACCAACCCTCTGGATGGTGTGTCCTGAATAATAGAATCAGGTAAAAGGTCTTTGCCCATGTTCCTGAGGAGAATGGCTACCACTCTGTGGACTTCTGGAAATACACCATCTATGCAGCCACAGCTAACTGCCCAGTCCCTTCTTTAACCAGAGTTCCACCATATCAAATCTTTTCTACAACTACATCAGGAGAAAGAGTCAGTTTACCTGGTGACCATCAACTTTCCCTCTCCAGCCTCTCCTGGATGTCTTCCTCCTTTCTCTTCTAGCTCTTCCATTTCCTGGATTTAAGAGACTGCACTGTGTTGCTGTATTCAAGATAGACGATAGATAGATAGATAATCGATCGATCACAGATACCATAGAATAAATCTATATAGATTTAGATATCAAGATAGAAATAGGTATCAAGATAGCAAGATATACATGTCTATATATGTATGTGTATTATTAGTTTGGGGTCCCCCAGAGGCAGCCCCTAAGATAAGGATCCAATGCAAATAGCAAACACTGGTAAGGGAAAGGATAATTTAAAAACAGAGAAGGGACGTAAACTAAAGAATAATCAAGCAACTTCCACTGAGGGCAAATGGAGCTTAATTCCACTAGGGAATGCTGGGGGACTGTGTACAACTTCCTACTCAAAGTGGATCATTCCCATCATCTCAAGCTCTGCCCCAAATCCCCTGAGTCAGAACATGAATTTTCAACAATATCACCAGGTGATAAAGTCTGTAGAGTGCTGGAGCCTTGTGCCTCAACATTACACTAAGGGGAGAGAAAACTGTGAGATTTATCCGTTGACTCCTCATCTGACATTGGTTGTGAGCTACTTTTCAGGGTTTGAATTTTCTGGCACTGTGGCTCAGCCTCCGGATAGGCAGAACATTAAGACTCCAGTGGCCAGGAAGAAAGTCCTCAGATAGAAAATTAAAGGTTTTAGCAATAAGCAGCTGTCAGCATGTGCTACTATTACAAGTTCAATTATGCTAGAGCTAGATATAAATAAAATATTAAAGTTTAGATTGCATTTCATAATAATCACCAGTGTCGGTTCGATATTAAAGGTGCATTAGGTAGATTCAAGTAAGCGGTATTTCATCTAAGCAAAATAGAGTTGTTCATTCACCATTCACACCATTATCACAATTTGCTTTAGGGGCATTAAAAGAAATGTAACATTATTTTTTACTCAGTAGTTATTTCAGGCATAGGTCATGAGTGAGGTCAGGAAATAGGTTTCCATATTTCATTTACGTATTATAATTCCTAATATTAACCTTCTGCGGGGTGGGGAGAACAACCAATGTTCTTCGTTGCAAAGACAAACTGTACCACACAAAATCTGGAGTACGTTCAAGAGCTGAAATTACAGTGGAAAAAAAGATTTGACTCTTATTATGTTAAACACTGGTAAAGAGATTTGGACAATATCCAGAAAAATCCACGACTGCTCCCAGACACAATAAAGTAACTACACAAGAAAAGCAGTTTCCAGGAAAATGCTAGTTTTGTTACCTATCACTTGTATTTCAAAGGAGTAGCAGAGTATTCTGTATCACACAAGAAAAAAAAACATAAAAAAAAATTGAAGATTTTTCAAAAGTTTCAAAATAACCAGCTTGGGGAAAAAAATTAACAGAATAGTAACCCCTTAGGCAAATCAAACTTAAAAAAAATCCTAAGTAAGTTTTTATGTTTAAATAATAGGGCTATAGGGGCCCCTGGGGTGGCTCAGGTGTTAAGCATCTGCCTTCGGCTCAGGTCATGATCCCAGGGTCCTGGGATCGAGCCCTGCATCGGGCTCTCTGCTCAGTGGGAAGCCTGCTTCTCCCTCTCCCACTCCCCCTACTTGTGTTCCCTCTCTCGCTGTGTCTCTCTCTGTCAAAAAAAAATAAATAGAAAATCTTAAAAAAAATAATAGGGTTATAGAAAAGTGTGAATCCAAAATTTTGGATATGAGAGGATGTGTTTATTATAAGCTTAAATTATAAGTTCAACACTTTAACTTCATTAAACATTAAACAAAATATAAAATAAAAACGAGTTAGCTATATATCTTTTTATACATCTTTTGCTCAATATAACACCAAATGAATTGTAAAATATTCAAAATATTACAAGATTACATTTATTACTCATGTATTAGCCAACTATCAAAATGGAAAACTTTTGTTTAATAAATGAAAAGTTAATGCATACAGTATATTCTTAACATGCATTAAGTAATGAAATCCTACAAGTTTTTTGCCCCCTCTCTTCCTTTTTCTCTCCTCTGTCTGCCCTTTAACTTCCAGCCACCAAAACAATTATATATCCATGAAATAAGTCTCCCTGAGTACACTGTACATTGCATTTTCTGTGTACCTCCTCACACTACGAGTTAGCTGCCTGATGGAGAATAAAACCTAGCAAAATCCTGCTTTTGCACAAGTGGTTTCTCTGGCTTCATGAGTGGTTTCTGCTCTGACCAAGACAGTGAGGAAGACATTGGCGGCTGTCAGTCATGTATGTCTTTATGGTATGATTGACAGACTCATTGATATTAGAAAGAAAATTTCTGCCAAATTTGACAATTCACTCCTCTAGTCACTCTATTCTAAATTTCAATTAAGAAAATAACCCACCTTGGAATGTCAATTTGGGTATTTTCCTCACAGAAATAAAATGATTCTCCCGTTCCCCGAAGCACATGCAGAGAAGACAACCTGCAGAGAGACACAGAGGTGGTGGTGCGGGGAAGTGAGCAGGATCACTGACCAGCAAATGACGTGTCTGAGACCAAAGTTGTGAGTACAGAATGGGATGAATCTTCAGGAAGAGAGTAAATCTGAGAATACCAAAGGTCCCAAACTAATTGGGTTTGTATCAGAAACTACATGGGTTCTCTAATAGAGATAGAATGTGAGCCACATATGCTATTCTAAATGTTCTAGTAACCCCATTGAAAAAGAAAAAAAAGGGGCGCCTGGCTGCTCAGTCGGTTAAGTGTCTGACTCTTGGTTTCAGCTCAGGTCATGATCTCAGTGTCCTGAGATCGAACCCCACGTCAGGCTCCAAGCTCAGTGCAGAGTCTGCTTGAGATTCTCTCTCTCCCTCTCCCTCTGCCCCTCCCGCTTGTGCTCTCTCTTTCTCAAGCAGATAAATAAATCTTTTTAAAAAGGCAAAAAGAAGCAGATAAAGTAACTTTAGATACTGTATTATTTAACCCAATATGTACAAGATGCTATCATTATTAATATTAGTGAGATATGTAGCATTCTTTCTTTCATAATAAGTGTTCAAACTCAAGTGTGAAATTTATACTTCACAGCACATTTCAAGTGCCCAGAGCCACCTGTGACTAGTTGTCCTCATGCTGGTCAGCTCAGTTCTACACAATCCATTAAACAGACCAAAAATGCTTTTAAAATATTTGCAGGATCTCTGACAGCTGGATCAAAAACAGTAGCTGTAATCATGAAGCCAAAGCTGCATTTTTATTATAGTGAGGTCTGACCTCTTTCATTTACGCTTAGAATTCCAGCTACCTAGTAGGCTTTTCTCTAAGGATTATTTTTGTCATCCAATTCAATTTTACATACTCTTCTTCATTCTAAACCCATGTTATGAGCAGTACTTGCTCCCCTCCCCAATACACACACACATACAACCTGCAGTATCCTAGCCTCTTACCCTGGGAATTGCTTTAAATTAGAAAAAAATTTAATTCTGATTCACTTTTTAGCACAGTATGTCCTGCTTACAAATGTGATCTAAGGTACAGAAAAACCCTATGTCCATGCTTCCGCTAGGTCTTTGTGTGGCCAAAGGAAAGACACCAAGAAGCAAATGGCTCTGTTGTTTGAAAAAGTTACATATATGAGGACTCACTTTTCATGAGCTATGGGCCTCTGGTCAAGTTCTGGAATTAGGAAGGAGACAAAGGGCAGCCTGACACTGCTCCCCTGAGGGGACAACAATATATAATATATATATATATATTATTATGCACTCAGGGGAACAGTCAGAGCACATGATGCTGCCATTAGAGAAATGTTTCTCATCCTTAATATGGATCTTGGGTCTGATGTTTGTGAAACTTCATATCTCTCCTGAGACAATAGTTACCTATGACATGACCCAGAAAGAATAAAAATAAAGCATGTTTGCATATTAAACTACCAGGGAAATCTTGAAGAGCACTGAATCTGGAATGCTAAGATTTATCCTAGACTGTCTTTTTTTATATAATTTATTTTTATTAACATATGATGTATTATTTGTTTCAGGGGTACAGGTCTGTGATTCATCAATCTTACACAATTCACAGCACTCACCATAGCACATACCCTCCCCAATGTCTATCACCCAGCCACCCCTTCCCTCCCACCCCCCTTCCACTCCAGCAACCCTCAGTTTGTTTCCTGAGATTAAGAGTTTAAGAATCTCTTATGGTTTGTCTCCCTCTCTGGTTTTGTCTTCTTTCATTTTTCCCTTCTTTCCCCTATGATCCTCTGTCTTGTTTCTCAAATTCCTCATATCAGTGAGATCATATGATAGTCTTTCTCTGATTGACTTATTTCGCTTAGCATAATACCCTCTAGTTCCACCACATCGTTGCAAATGGCAAGATTTCATTTCTTTTGAAGGCTGCATAATATTCCATTGTGTATATATACCACATCTTCTTTATCCATTCATCTGTCAATGGACATCTAGGCTCTTCCCATAGTTCGGCTATTGTGAACATTGGGGTGCACATGCCTCTTTGGATCACTACATTTGTATCTTTTATACCCAGTAGTGCAATTGCTGGGTTGTAGGGTAGCTCTTTTTTTAACTTTTTGAGGAAACCCCATACTGTTTTCTAGAGTGGCCGCACCAGCTTGCCTTCCCACCAACAGTGTAAGAGGGTTCCCCTTTCTCCGCATCCTCGCCAACATCTGTTGTTTCCTGACTTGTTAATTTTAGCCATTCTGACTGGTGTGAGGTGATATCTCATTTTGGTTTTTATTTGTATTTCCCTGATGCCGAGTGATATTGAGCACTTTTTCATGTGTCTCTTGGCCATTTGGATGTCTTCTTTGCAGAAATGTAGACTGTCTTAAAAAAAAAAAAAAAACCGTCTCCCAGTGCTACT